ATATATATATATATATATTTGTGACATTTCTTAGAAGTTAGGATTACTATTTATTTAATTTTTAAAATTTTTGAATTCTTTTGTCATACTAAATACAACATGTTTTATTATATTTACATTTAATATATTAATCAATATGTTGTGCAAATGAAAAGAAAATTATCATTTCGCAAAAACAAAGGTTAAAATATAATTTATTATGATTAAGGAAAGATAAAATTATTATTCCAATATCCATAACCATATATAATACATTAAAAATTAATTGAAAAGCTGTAAATGGAAAAGGAATCACTATTTAAGGAATAATTATTTTTAAATTTTTGGATCATTTCTTCTTGTAAAAGTTTTTATCCATACGTTACAATAAAGTTAAAATAGAAAATGTAGCGACACCATTCTTACTAATAGATAGTTATTTATTTTTATTAATTTTTTTTGAAAATGTAGCGACACCTATATTATCCATAGTTCGGAGAACAAAATCTAACTCATTCTTATGCCAACAATGATTCAAGTAAAATCTGCAAAAAAAGATCAAATCAATTTGCAAATGTCAGAAAAATGCACAAATGGAAAATCTAGTGAATTACCAAATATAAGCACACACTACCACATGTCTTTTAAAAGCAAAAACTCTAGTGAAGTTATTACATTATAATAAGATTTAAGTTGTTTATCCAGAAAATAAAGAAAGAGTAAGTAACATTACCTAACAATCATTGATTTCAGATTTGATCTCAAAAAATGAGAATTTTTTTCGCAGATATAGAGCCACATCGATGCAACATGGCAGTACATCATATATTGAGATAGAAAATTGCCTACACTTTCAGTTCAACATGCATTTATGACAATACAACCTGTTCATACATTGAGCAGAAATAGTTATATTATTTCCACTGAAATTTTAATTTATGTACAATATAATAGCTTTGCTGACTCAGTAAACTCCCACCCCCGCCCCCCCGCCAACTCCTTTACTCCTTTCATTGGGTAATAGCTCCTTTCAACTTTTTCTTTATGCTAGCGCAGAAGTCCTGTACTATTATTTGTCAGTTGATTTTTCACACACAAAATCATGTAAGGATTTATGAAAGACATGAAAAATGTGTTAAAAGTAAATGTGCTAAGTACTAACACCAAATGCATGGTGCAATAACATAATTATACATTCAGAACCTATTTAAAACAGTGCAGAGGATAATCACATTAAGAGCAACTTACTTGAAATGATTTACGAACCATTCCAACATGTCTTGAACTCTTGGTTAGGCTTGCCAGCTAATTTTACATCCATTAGCATGTACCTCTCTCTTTACCAATTCCGAAAAGTAAATTTGATGAGCATTGTGAAGTCACAAAGTGGACACCATGTGAATACTCTCATTTTCATACTCGCGGAGACAAAATGAAATGGTTCAAGTTGCACCTGTTTTCAGTACAAAAAAGAATTAGAAAGAAGAAAAGATTTCAATGACATAAGAAAATAACCCATTGAGAATAGCAAAGGAGTGTCGCCTATCTCCATAGTACCAGAAAGCCAAAAAATAATGATGTTATAGATTGATAGGAGTTCTGAAGCTGAAGGCGTTTTAAAATTGAAATCGTTTATCTACCCTATTCTGACACCTTTGTAGAAATCTAAGTTGCACAGACACTTCACTTTTGATGTCGCACCCGTGTCGGATTCTCCAAATATACACTACTTTTGGAGAATCCGACATGCACCCATTGACATTTTTGAAGAGACCGAACAACATAGGTGAACACTGAATGAATGAAAAGATCAGCCTCACGAAAAAGGAGTCACTCCTCTAGCACACCTAAAGATTAAAAGTAATCAAGTAGTTCATCGAAGAGAAGAGCAAGACACATATCAATTTAGGGTCCAAGTGTTTGAGTCATCAATAAATTATGCCCAGAAAGCTTGAATACATAATGTTCAGGAAAGTTGGTGCGACACGTTAAAAGACCTGCATTTTATATGACTAAGAAAGTCCTATCATGCCATTCCAATGAAGAAGTTGATATATATATGTGTGTGTGTGTGAAAAACCAATATATATATATATAGTCTGTACATTACACAAGAATAAAAAAAGATAACTTTTTCATGAACAAATAGGTTTAGTATCATTGTTGTAGTAGTAATGTGAAATCCCATGTTATGGATAAAATATACTTGAAACAGGGACGGCAACATGCTCAATTCTTGCTAAACAATTTAGTGTAGCCATCTTTAATCTCCACTTCTACATGTCATCTTTGCTCATATCTTAATAATGTTTTGAACTTCTGTAACATCAAACCTACCAAACAACACTAACAATTCAAAGTAGGATACCAAAGATCTCAAGAAACACAAGCACCACAATACTATTATGCTAATTTCACACAAAAATACTTCTTAACTGATTACAAACTTACTTCCAATGAGCCTTTTAACATCATATATAATATGTTCCGAGTTAAGACCTTACCATACTCCCTTGCTTCCCCCTAAATTTACAAAATCACAATTCCATAAACTACCCCAAAAATCTATAGGAAATTTTGCAACTTCAAAAACATTACACGCATATCTTAGTCATCATTCATTGTGAATACCTTATTTGCGTAGGAACCAACCTGTCTTTCTAAGAACAATAACATAAATACAAATTTGTTCAATAGATTGAAAAAAAGTAACACCAACCAAGGAAATGTAAAATTGTCATCATATGCATTTATTGGGATCATGTCTTCTAAAAGTCAGTAATCATTCATTTAATGGCTATTTATATTGAAATTTGAAACACAATTATAAATTTGTTTTTATGATTTATGAGAAATATAAAATAATGATAGGAAGGATAAGATAACATATACATTCATATTCGAATAATTTCAATTATTAAAGGAATATTTATAAAGATCCTAAGAGATAGTTAATCCATAGACTGTTGCCTTCCTATGAGTGCCTGTTCAGTCCCAAAGTACTTTAAAAAAGAAGAAGAAAAATCTGAATAAGTGTTTCCTTCCTATGAGTGCCAGTTCAGTACCAAACTTAAATAAATAGAGGATCATGAGAACCTTCCAACAGGGGTCTATTACAATTTGCAAAATTGCAGGCTTCTTAAGTTAAACTCTATTCTATACTTCTTCTTAAGTTAAACTCTATTCTATACTTCCTTCAAGATTCTATAACTGGTATAATATTTTTCCTTTCTTTTTTTTTTACAAAAAAATTAACATCATTCAAGGATATTCAATTATGGTTAAACCTCTACTGTCCATTTTATCTAACAGTAAGATGAAAATGAAAGGATTAAGAATGCTTTGACAGTTTAAAACTCAGTTTTGAGATCTACATAAATATAATCTTTAAATTTCATAATTCAGAAAAGAGATCAGATCTTTGATATATTCAAATATATCAAGTGTCAAACCATAACTTTAAGAATTAAGAAACAAAACAAAGTAGCTACCTTGGGAAAAAAATTGCATGTTGCTGTATGTAAAGTTGAGTTCTTTCTCCTTCATAAACACCAAAAAAGAGTAAGCAAATTTTAGTTTCACATCTTCATTGTTGATGATGTTTATATTTAAATGTTGCTTCCAAGAAAAAACAGGTAATACATTTGTTGGATCTGTATTCAGCCTGCAAAATGTTGAGGGAAAAAAGTTCAATTTGGTAGATTTAAAAGCCCAATCATTTATTAACAGAGCAAAATCATTTATTAGAGTAGACATGCACAAAGGTCCATATCATATCTTTCCTTGTGAAAGGAAGGTTGATATTTGATAATGACGAACACAGTCCCTAAATGTACATGAGAAAGGGAGGAATAAAAAAAGAAAAGAAGATCAAGGAATTTAATTGAGAAGGTTCAATGAGAGAAAGAGAGGAGAAATTAGGTTCGACATGAGTAAATGAAACAACACGTGTCTTCACCGCTACAAACATACAATAGATATTTCTGAAAGGGCATTAGTATACAGGACTTTTCAGATTTCCTCCATACAAAGCTATAGGCTTTTAATAGAAGAATAGTTGAACTAAAGTAATAAATAAAAAAAATTGTAAATAAACCAAGGATTTTACTCCCTCAATGGTAGATGCTTGAACATTTTAAATAAACAAATTCTTTTACCGTCTGACCCTTGAGTTTATAAACTCTATTATCAATGATAACGCAGACATAATATCTCTCTCAATAGACAACAAAACAGATGAAAAAAAAAGATAAATCTCTGAACAGTGAAAAGGGAAACGATCAAGTTAGAAGATAAACTTACTGATGAAGGAAAGAGAAAGGCAAAAGAAAACAGGATCTAACCTCTATTGCTGAAATCCTGTCCATTTCACCTTTAAACACAACTTTAGTAGACTAATCTTTGAGCAATTTAGAAAATCTGTTGATGTCTCAATAATCATATCTAGCTAGCCTCTTCATTTTACTATGATAAAATATGAGAAACAAATTTTAAGCTCAAAGACAAAATCTAATGCTAAGAGCTCCTAAATTTAAGTGCAAATAGTGAACATCTTAGAAAAGATAACTAACAGTGAGGTAAGTAAAAACTTACTCCATTTAAAAGTATGTATTGACAATACAACCAACTCTTGAAATGATTACTATTTTTATTTATCAATCAACAACGTATCTGGTACATCGGAAACATTGGAGATCAATGAAATTTCTGTATTTGCCTTTAAGTTTAATATCATAAGTGCAATTGTTCAAAAAAAAAAAAAAAAAGAACCGTCATTCACCCAAAAATAGAAGGACATAAGAACTGTAGTCATAGAGAAAGGAGAACAAAAGAGGAGGCATAAAATGCCAACAACTCATCCAAACCATCCGACAATGAGCCAATGTAATGGAGTTGGCGAGAATTACCTTAGAAGAGGAGAAAATGTGTACGTACTCGCAACCCAATGCCATTTGTTGGTCGTCAAAAGTCATTAATCCTGCAAAAATCAAGTAAAATCATCGAGATATAGTAACGGGATCCAAGTTTTCAACAATCAATAGAACGGAGCTCAGCGTCACAGTTGTGTTATACTGAGAACATATGAAAAGATTATAGAAATAAAGAAGTGGAGACAGAACACTAATTTTTCAAGCAAATTTTGATCTTACTACTGTCAACCGAGAGAAAAGGAGAAAAATTAGAAAGGAAAAATTGATATCCTAATTAATAGAATAACATAATCATGTTAACGGGCAAATGTATATAGAACTGGACAACCAAGAATTAATAAATTCAAATATTTAAATTATATAAAATCAAATGATCCTATAAAGGAATCCTTGACAATTATCAAAGTGAGAGCCTAAAACATCAACCGCAATAAATGAGGGTAGGCTTCAGAATCTTACGGATCATGTTACTCCATTGAACATCCAATTCCCTAACTTATATAATCCACATGCACTGAAATTGTTCACTTGTATAATTTTGAACAATTTCACTCTTAAACCCCTAATTTCCATAAACTGTTGTGGGGTGGAATTTGTGTGCATATATTAATTTTTTGATTGTTTGGTAGTGATATGGGAGGAGAATTTCGCTCTAAACCCAATTTTCAAACTTTGAATAAAAATTTCAAACTCCTACACAAAAATATAAAGTGAAAGCATAAGGACATAAATAAACAAACAAAAGAAAGAGTGGCAACATAACACAGCATCAATAAAAAAATTATACACTTAAAAAAGTGCAGAACATAGAAAAGGCATATAACACTATATATGGACCCGAGATCCGACACTGAAGTTTAGAAACTATAAAAGCAGTAAAGCACAAAGAGAAGGAACCTACTCATAGTATAAAACTCACCAGGCAAATTAACAATGGAGGAACTTGCATTAACAATGCTGGGTTTTCTGCTCTTGTGTTTTTGTGTTGAAGCATAGTACATGAAGTACAAGGACCCAAAACAACCCTTGAATATTAGAATCAGGGACTTGATGAATATAATAAGCCTTAAAGAGATAATAGGTCATATTAGCCAGATTGAGAAACATGTAGATTTACCTTAAATCATGAAGAAATATTTCGGCAAGGCATCCCAAACAAACAAAAATCTTGAGAAAACCTTCACACAGAGATTTAAAGTGTCTACACAAAGAGAAGACACTCAGCAACACATGGATTCGCCATTGAAGAGTTGAGATCTACAAAGAAGAGTTGAGAAAATAGACCAAGCTTAGCAGAGGAGGAGAGAGAAATCTATAGAGAATTGTGAGATGATAGTGCAAAACTTGTACAGAAAGTGAAGCAAAATGAGACACGTGTTTATTCATCACTGAAAAAGGGCCAAATTTACTGTACAATTAGTACTACCTTGAGTACAATTAGAAGATGCAGCGTTCGTCCTTTTACTCCCATCCTCCTTTAGCCTTCTTTTGTATAAGCTAGATAATATTTGGTACAATTTGCTGAAGTCAGAGTCTAAATGATTATATGTATGTTGAAAATGTGAATACTGAACTGAAATGCTATAGATGAAAGAGTGATTTTACTTGATACAGATTTTTGAAATCCTCTCGCAATGTGATTCATCCCAACCTTATAACCCAAGAAGGAAGTCAACTTGCTGGGTTTGGTTCTATCATCCTTAGGCATCGGAAAAAAGAAAAAAAATAGATGACGGATAAGGGAAGACTTAAAATATTTACTAAAGAGTAAAAGGTGCAGAAGTTGTAGAGAAGCTAAATTGCCAAACAAAAAAGTAGAAGGTTGCAAATGGTAAATTTTGCATTTATGCAGCTTCTGGTAACTATAAGATCTTGGAACATATTAGAGAACATACATATGTTAAAATGTGATAAATTCAAGAATGGAATCCTACTCTAGCTTATTGTCTTCGTTAATATTGTCTCGTATGAGTACAAAGAAACTTATGCTATCAAATAGTTTCTGGTCAATAGGTTAACCCTCGATGTACGTGCTTAATGACCTTTATTGATTCATAATTGGAGAAAGAATGTGCAATTCACTCATGAATGTTCTCTTTGTATACGAATCCTTGGCAACAATTGTTTGGCATATGGAGGATGCAAGAAAGCTATCCTTATGATTCATTACTCTCTAATACTATCTCATGAATTAAATCTCATGAATTAAAACAGATTCATATAATGAAAGATCAATTCAGTCAAAATAATGTACACTTAATAAATCAATAACAGACACAAAGATAAACAATCATCAATCACTTAATCACTGGAAGGGTCTAATAAGGCCACAATTAAAAGATGGAAGTATTTCGTGAATCAAATTTGACAAATTTTACTCCAAAAGATAGATCTCATATCTTCCGTCAAAGTCGAAGCCTTAAAAGATTTTGAAAAAATCTCACCTTTGGAGCATGATCAAGATTCAGGTTCAAATCTAAAGTTCACACATATAGTTACATATCTTTTAACAACTACAAGTTCAAATTAATCCTGCAGTGTAGCACTTTAAGATATTATTAGGTGAAAAACAGAGCCCTATCCAAAAAGAAAAAGATTTATACTATTTCATGATATCAAGTACCAAATATGAAAAAGGTATCAAGTGGCACACTTCTAAGTTAGTCTTGAAAGATTAAAAAACAAAGAAAAAAGGAACAAATTTCACCTCGTACCTTTGCATGTTGTTAGGAACCACGCAAGTACCAAACTTTGTCAACAATCTGCAAAATTTGCATAGCTGCAAGTGCAAACCTGCAAAGAGAATGGAAAATATGAAAAGAACTTGAAAAGGCAAAAGAATATCACAACACGCAAGAGGAAAAAGAAACAATTCTTGTTCTAGAGGTCGGCACAATTCTGACAGAAACTTGAAATTTGGTACTCATTTTTCGGAAAATTTCTTGCGACTGCAACTGCGATTTGTTCAAAAGAAACAGAAATCTTCAGGAAAGCTTGATAGACAGATTTTAACCCTGTAGACAAACAGAAAACACTAAGCAGCAGATGGATTGACCAGTGAAGAGGTGAGAAGTAGAAGGAAGAGTTGAGAGACTTTACGAAGGAGGACAGAAAGTTAAAGCATGAAGAAGTACCTGCGCAGCTCGTCGGAAACAAACAGAGATCTTCAGCAAAGCTTTAGAGAGAGATTTAAAGTGTGTAGAGAAAGAGGAAATACTAAGGAGCAGACGGATTCACCATTGAAGAGATCAGAAGTAGAAGGAAGAGTTGAGAGAATAGTGCCACTGTAGGAAGGAGGCGAGAAATTAGGGTTACAAATTTGTCTGATTATAGGAAGAAAGTTCTAGAGAAAGTGTCTTTATTTATTGATGTACAATTAGTACTACCATTAGTACAATGCAAAGATGCAGTGTTGGTCCTTTGTAAAACGTACAATTACTACTGCCTTTAGTACAATCAAATAATGCAGTGTTGGTCCTCTTTAAGTGTCATTTCTATATAAGGGTAATATACTTGTCTTCTTCTTGTGATTTATTTACATATTTTTGTACACTTGTCTTCTTCGTCTTATTTTCCTTGTCTTCTCCTTTTTATCTACGACTTTATGTA